AGAGAATTTATATTTCATTAATTTCCTTAGGGCATCATTGCCTTAATTTAAATTTGAAGAAATAATAAATGAATTCTTAAAATTACACTGTGTATTTGCATAATTGGGGATTTATTATTTTTTTCTTCATTGAATGTAGTAAAACTTCCCCAAAACTGATCTATTTACCATATTTTTGTAATTTTTATTGTTTTTTCCCCTCAAACTTAAGGATGAGAAACCCAACAAAGCTAATAAAATGACATCCTTTTGATCCATTTTAACATTATTTTTATCCATTTTTGAGACTTCTTCCATAAGTTTATTAGGCATATGCTATTTCTTGTGGCGTGAGATGACAAATGTTAATGAAATTGGTCAATTCAGAAGTCTCTGAGACCTAGAACTCTACATCCCCTATAGATAGCATGTTATTGGGAAATTGAATCATCTTTTAGTGACTAAAAGTTAGATGTAAAGCAATATCTAGACAATATGCATAAGGATGTCAGCAAAACATGAAAAAACACTTAAAAGAAAGGCTAATGGAATTCAGGAATAGGATTTCTAACAGCAGGCAAGAAGCAAAGACTCAATAGGCAGGCAGCAAGGAGGAAGGCATGCCAAAGTCTGAGCTTAGACACTTGTGAATATGCACATGTATAAAATATATATAATGTACATAATTTTAAAATATTAAAATATTTTTTAAATTATCTCATAGTATTTCATAGTGATTTTAATTTACAGTTTCCTAATGATCGATAATATTTATTTTATTGAAAATATTTGCATGTCCATAATCTCCTTTTGAATATCTTTTTGGATGAAGTATTTTTGTTCAAATGTTTTGCTAATCATTTAACTGGATATTTTCAGGTGACTAATTTCCTCTTTAGTTAGTTTTGTCAGCTTTGTCTTTCAAAAAATATGTTTGTTTTATTGACGTTGAATTCATTGACATGGGCTGTTTATATTATTCTCTCATTATCATCTTCATGTCTATTAAATCTGAAGTGATTTCACTTCTCTCATTCCAAGTATTAATAACATGTGTCTTCTCCCTTTTTACTTGATCATTCTTGATAGTTTTCCCATTTTACCGATCTTTTCTAAGTACCTGTACTTTTATTTCATTGATTTTATTTATTGTTCTTCTGACACCTATTTCAACTACTTCTGGGTTTATCTTTATTTTGAATATAAGTCAATCCCATTTTTCTAGTTTCTTATGAATATACGAATAATACAGACAATGCTTACTAAGTATTTGGCAAATACTAAATTAGCATTGTTAAAAGTACCATGCTTTTTTAACTTTTATAGTCTTCATAGTGTAGAAAGTTTCGCACATAGTATGTGCTTAATATAAATTTTCTCAGTATAATTAAATTGATATTTACCATCAGTTTGTGTCAGAGGATAAAAAATTTCAAACATGTTTTTGACTTATTAATGACTTTCTAAAACAGTATGAATTTTAATCTCTTTGCAGATTGTGAAAGATACACTTTAATTGACTCAAACTGTCTTCTGGTGATTTGAATATTAATAAGTTACCTACCTATAGGCTCATTGGAAAGATCATAAACCCTCAGTCTTATTAGACATTAGCAATTAAGGTCAAATTTGATTCACTGTGTCAACAAAAGTATTCTGAGGACTTATTACATGCAGGCATCATTCAAGAAGTTGTGAAACTAAAAGATTATTACAGCTGCATATATACCATCACTATATTGGGTACACTAGTTAAAAGGCCCAGATAAAGTGAAAGATATCATTATATTTTAACTAATATATTCAATATAATTTTTCTTTTATTTCTTGACAGAAATAAGAATATAAATTACATAGAGACTTTTGATTTTTGTGTGATATTTTCATTACTCTATCATTTTTATTTATAAGATTCCAAGAGAAAGTTAATTATGAATTCATTCAATATATACTCATTGAATGTGTATCAAATTCAAGGTCATCTGCTAGTACCTATATAGTAAGATAATGCAGAGAGGGTTCCTTCTCTTAAGAAGTGTCCAAACAGCTATTTCTTCTAAATATATTGTTAGGAAATAGTAACAAAAACTGTCAAAAAGCAGTTAAGTAGTCTTAAAACTATATAACACCTAATTCTAGGCTAAAGAGACTGATTTCCCCAGGAAAGCTGAGCAGGTCCTGACATGGTCAAATTCTCTAATTCAGTTACTATCAGCCTAACGAGGGTAACCTCATTTGCTTGCCAGAGTGTGCCATATAATATGATTGTTTTCTACGTGCACAAGAATGTAAAGAAGTTTGGGAAATGCTACTTTAATGATTCTGTCATTAGAACCATTAAAGATTTGGGCTAGAAAGTTACATCACACAGCTTAACTATCATAGAAATGCTACTTAAATTTATTGAAAAAAAACATGATAGGCAGCAGAAGACACAACAATGAAGTAAGTAACAGATTGCCCTGGGTCTCCTTGTGTCTCTATAAATTTAAACCTCTGACTTTATGGTGCTTACTTTCTATTTCTCCTCTATTTTTCTCTCTGACTTCAAAACAGAATATTTTTGTTCTGAATTTTTAAGTTAGTAA